TGTGTGTGTGTGTGTGTGTGTGTGGGGGGGGGGGGGGTTAATATTATTAAGCACATTACCATGTGCAGTGTGGTGTGAAGGACTGTCTGTTACTTGCTGCTGTCCACATCAATCATCCAGCCACTTGTTTGGATCCACCCCAGAGTGCTGTAGGTTAGGGTTTCACCTGTGAAGACACAGACGGATATCAGGCCTCATTAAAGCCGCTCCATCAATCACAAAATCCAGCGTATGAGTCCTAAACTCATGCATGCTCAGATCATTTTGCTTTATTCATCATGCTGGCTTCAGACACTTTTACTTTAGTCATAAACTTTTTGTCAACTCTTCTCTTCGTCAACAATTCCCCCTTGTGCTTTTGCATACCATTTAATTCTCCCCCTTCCTCGTTTCTCCCCTGCAAGTGCTCCCCCTCTGCTTTAATAATAAATAAGATGCAGCTAAGACGCTAAAGAATACGTGGAGGGGGGGGGAGGATGCTGGGACTCACCAGTGTTTGGGATAAGTGTCTGTGCCAAAAAACCCTCAGAAAAATCTCTCTCCTGGCAGAGCACAATGTCCTAGAGGCGTTGCACTCTTCACCTGCCTCACTTTGCAGTGGTTTGCAATAGTCTAGGCACCCCAGACTTACTTCTAGCGCCTCTGCCAAATCCAACTCAGCAGGACAGCAATGGCTCCACCCTCTGACCTTCACTTTCTCCATCTCACTCACAAACACAAGTCTCCACACAATGTAGAATAAATTWACCATATGATGTAGAAGAAGCATCAGCCAGTCAAAGAACTTGGGGTTTTATCTGTGCATATTTGTCCCTYGAGTCACAACTACACTGATACAGTATAACACATTTATTGGCTGTGATCCTRCACTGGCCAGTGTGCTGATAACCCTGAAGTATTGCTGAGCTGTGAGAAAGAGAGAAACAATTACTTACACAGGAAACAGAAAAGCAGCATTGATCAAACGGTGTCATTTTACAGGTGCTGAAACTGAAGGGCACAAGGCTYCAAAGTAACATAATGTCTCTGCATCATCACTGCTACATGATGTTTGCCCCCCTCCATGATGTCAGTACATTTAAAGGGGCAATATCATGTAAAATCAACTTTTTTGAGTTTTATATCATGTTATAATGTTATACTCTCATGAAAAAACAGGCCCAAAGCCTTGCTCTGACTCATTCATGCATGTTTGAGAAATCCTGCAGCGTTTTTAGGCAGCCATGCTGAGGAGCAAAACGACGGGTGGGGACCAGGAACGCCCCTGGGACGTGTCTTTAAGTCAAACTTCCTCACGGAGGAGCGCCCCCCACCCTCCCCACACACCCGCCCAGGCGCCCATGACTCCTGCAGGCTCTCGGGTGAAAGTGAAAGTGAAACTTAACTGTCTGCTGAGCTCTCAACATTAGTTCTCACTCAGTGAARYWHTTTTCAGATTAAAAATACCTTTGAGGAAATGTATTTTCAGATGCCAAGTAAACTGCATCATGGCAGCGATGGGACAGAAGCAGAAGGAGGTTCTTAAAGAG